CTCACGGAGAGGGAAAGGTCGAGAGGGAAAAGGTACCACGTTTTTTCTTCAAGAAAACTGTAGCAACAAACAAACAATTTCATTTAAAAAATTATTGGAGAATTTGCATACCACTCTCTAGTCAAATGGCACAGTTATTCCCATTAGGGACCGAGACTGGTAAAAAATTTATAATTTTTCAATTAAACTAGCAAAATGCTAATAAGAAGAACCTGAGCAATGCAAGGTTGTAGATCACTACAGGTCTGACTTTTTCTCAGACCTTATTTCCACTCCTTCTTAAGAAATGTTCATGACTGCGATAATCGCTTTCATTGTTATTTGTTAAAAAACCTCTGTCAGTTCACATATATGGTTTTCCTATATTCACAGTCATTGAAAGGAAGATGTTTCACCGACACATCTCCACTTCAGTTGTTTTAAAAGGCTTCCAAACAAACTTTGAGACATCTTTTGACACCTGTCAATTTAAAAAATGCGTGCACTTTTGAAAAAACAACAGTATGTCTTATCAGTGTAGCAAGCAAACTTGAGCTGGTTGAATATTACAACGAGATTTTCTTCAAATACCCAAATGATCCAAGGGAGAGTTTCATCCACTTCCAAAGCAAGAAATCTTCGCAGATTTTCCTCCGTTCATTTTTGAATGGCAAGGAAATTCACCGTGAGTAAATTCAAATGACTGTTTTGAATTTGCAAAAGTTTTAAACGGCTATGAGTATATGAAAGTCATATGTTTGAAGTGCGGTTAAAATGGGAGCTTGGAACCAACAGTGACCAGCTCCCAGTTGGCTTGTTAGCTCAGTTGGTAGAGCGCTGCACCGGTATCGCAAAGATCATGGGTTCAAATCCCGTACAGGCTTGAAATCTTTTCAGGCCTTCTTTTCACTACTGCTTGAGTAGTGTTCATTACTGCGAAGATCGCTTTCATATTGCGAAAGTTTGTTAGTTTATTTGTTGTGATGATGCGATTTATTCCTTTCTTCCTCCGAAAAACTGTAGTTGAATAAGAAACTTACAAGAAATAAGGGGATTTAATGCGGCTTACAGTCATTAAACTTTTTTTTTCTTTTTTGCTTTGTAATTTACGGTAGAAGTATGAGTACAGTTATCACCAAGCAGGCGAATTGAAGTGCACACCTGTCAGTAACTATGACGTCACTCGCATTGAAAAATTAGCATAGGAAACAACATGATTTTGAGTGCAATTTGTTGTTATTAAGTACGAGTAAATTTTCCAAAAACAGTAAAATTGTGCTGTACAAGGTACTACTTTAACATGCGTAGTCAACTGTACCGCGGGCACATCAATGCCACGGCTTTGTTCAGTAGTCCAGTGGTCAGTGCACTGGGCTCCGAGTCGGACGACCCGGGTTCTAGTCCTGGCCGAGGCAAGGCGTTGTGCCCTTGAGACGTGCGGGGAAGAAAATGCAAGCTCCACTTTTAGGCTTGGCTAAATCTATATATTACTTAGGCGTGCTGAAATTCAAAATGGCTGCCTCGCGTTCAGCAATCAGTACCTAGAAAGTGACAAACGCGATGGAAAAAAATTCAATTTCGAAGAGCATAAATACTACATTTGAGAGTAATCAAAACAATCGTGACAAAACATGCGCAAAGCTTCTTTTTTTCGTGAAATGCACTGTTTCTCGATTAGTAGAATATTGTTAATGATTCTAAAAACATGATCGTTGTGCAGGTGTACTCAAAGAAATGCAATTATCCTCGAGTGAGAAATTCCAAGTTAATCAGTAACCCAATTCGTTCTCTGTTCAAAGCGTTCAAAGTGCATTGTATCTGCTTCAGATTGAGCGAAACTATCTACAGTAGAAGACGGTTGTTTAGGAAAAAGTGGATGACATAGCTAGTCGTATACCTAAAAAATCCCTTAAAAATCAAGTGTTTCAAGTTAATATCATCGCGCCTTTCCTGCGCGACCCAGATTAGTGTTACATTCTCAATCTAACAATGATCGAAATCACTTTTGCAATGCTTGTGCAAAATCCGAAGGCTCTCCAGCGCAGTTACGGCTTATTGGTAACATTAGCCATGTTTCTAAGCTAACATATTTCTTCTGATGCTCTGACTAACAAAAGGAATCACTGAGTTCGCTATGCTTGATAACAAACATAAAATAAAAAAAATTTAAAACACAGCGAACGCTATGGCGAAATTATTTAGTGAATGTAAACCTGAAAACGCCAACCTTTCACCGATGAGCAGAATTTGGCCAAGATCTTTCTGTAGAAGTAAATCCCTTTAAAGTTGGATATCTGTTCGCAAAATGAGGTTTTATCTCGATCACAACCGTTACGCATTAACGAGAATTGCAAATGAATGGCTTGAAAAGCTCACAAAGCCGAAAGGGTAATAAATAACTAATCTCAATCAATATTTAAGAACAGAATTAAAGTGCCTGAGTCGACACAACATCAATATTTATTATTTATTTATTTATTATATTATTTATCGAAGCTAAAGACTAATGTTGTCATCCCTGATTGAAACTTAAAATAATATAAAATTTAAGCTACAAAATTATGGGTTTATCACATGAAGCTTCCGAAAGTTTTGGGAAAGAAATGATAAAGTGTACCTTGAAGTAACAGTCAAAAGTACTGAGGAGAAGGGAAGAACGTAAATATTTCTCTTAAAATGGTATCGTTAGCGTTTTGCCAATTGAAGCTGTGCAAAGAATGTTATATTAAGAGATAAATTTAAGGTGGGGGCGGGGGGAAATGAGAATAGCACCGTTAGAATTATGTTTAGTTAAGTTAAACCGAATTAAAATTTTCCTAAACTAGCGACATAACATCGGGTTTATCGGTCTGCAGAAGAAATCACTTCTCAGTACGTAAGCAGAAATGCTTCGAAAGCAAAGAAAGAAACAAATATTATAAAGATTATAATTTCAGACTAGGCAATAACGTTGAGAAATTTTTATCACTGAAGCGCACTTTGTTTCCGACAACACCATGAAGATTCTTAAAGCGTTGTTCGTTCCTAACAACAAAGGGAAACGTTGTTCGTTTTCAAGAACAAAATGCAGCATTGTTCGTTTGGTATGTAATCGTTTCTTACTCACGGACGTTTCGTAAGTTTAAGAATCTTTTTCTTGGTTTTTAACAATACCATGGAGACTTTGACTACACAGAAATCGATCATATGCCTGTTCGGATCTGAAATATGTTTGAGTAACGATTTTAAAAGCGTTATTCGTTTCTAACAACAACGGGAAGCGTTCTCCGTTTCTGACAAAAAAATGAAGCGTTGTTCGTTTGGTACCTACTCGTTTCTCACTCACGGGCATTTCGTAAGCTTGAGAAAATTTTTCTTGGTTTCTAATAGAGCCATAAAGACTTTAAGTACACAGAAATCAATCATATGGTCAGAAAGGCCATATGATCGACCCTAATCGTCGCACTGGGGGGCTTGTTGACGTGGTCTAACTTCACCACCACACTCAATGCAAGGATGAATGCTCATTTTGATCAGTTCGTATTCGTATTGTAGCTAGCTTTACCCTCTTCATATATACTTTGATCGGATCAAAATATACATGCGACCGCTAGAGGAAACAGAGCACAACTAAATAATTTTTGCCTATTCTGATCCTAAGGGAAATGATGCTATCAGACTACTACTGTGAAAAAAGTCACAAGCATAAACAATAGACTATTATCTTAAAAATATCACACTTACCTTACGCAAGGGAACAAGTTAATTTTTTTTGTATGTTACTCGCTTTACCTTTTACCGACTTGTCGAACGCGACAATCGACATTCATTTACCTGGTGTTTTCATCTGTCGTCGTTAAGAAAGTCACAAATAGACACAACAGAACTTTACTTGTATGTTACGCTGCATCCATGCATTTGTTGTTATAGAAACGAACAACGCTTCCCTCTGTTGTTAGAAACGAGCAACGCTTTTAGAGTCGTTACTCAAACATATTTCAATTCTGACCACACAATCGATTTTTGCGGAGTCAAAGTCTTCATGCTAATTTTTCAATGCGAGTGACGTCATAGTTCTGACAGGTGTGTCCCCGCAGGCTTGAGGCTATCAGTGACTTCATTGGTGTATAAACTTTCCACTGATATGTTTTTCTAGCTCTGTTTACGCCTTCATTTTACGAATTCTTTCTACACAATCGTATACAAATTATGTTCGAAGAGATGGGTATCCTCTGATCACGCTGGTATGAATAAGATTTCATGAGAAGTTTCCATATTTTATCTAAACTCTGACTGAAAAATCTTCTATATTGTAGGAAAGGGAAAATTCCGTGAGCTATATTATTATAGTCACAGCGCGCTCGATTGCTGTCCACACGGGCGGTCTAGCAAAAAATCAATTTTAGCTTGTGGCGACACAAACAAAAAGAGAATTGGACAAAACCCTAAGCAATTTTTTGAGACGTGTCTTAAACCTTTTTTTACGGGCATAAAAATAAAGGAAAACTTTTTTTTTCGACGAGAAGTCGAGAGGACGCTCTTAGCGAGAGTGGCATTTAACAACGAAGTTTGCCTCAGTGAAGCCATGTTTTCTAAAAATGTGCTCTAAAATCTCCAAGAAATTTGGTAAGAATACAGCAGAGTTAGCAATTTGAAATCTTTAGCAAACAAATTTGTGGGCTTTTTTGTGCGCATGCATTTTAAAGAATTTAACTAATAGTTTCTTTTCTTTTGATTTTGCATATTGATTACTGAAACGTATACAGGAAGGGTCCATTACAATAGCGAGTGGATGATGGAAATAACTGCCTGAGGAGAAAACTAACACAATTATGTAGTTTAATACACATCAGTCAATCTAACAGCCTCTCTGTAAGACATCTTTGATATATCCAAATGTGATTGGCTATCATGTTTCTAGGAAGTTTAGCATTAGATTGCTGGTACATCCGTCGCAGTCAACAAACTGCTGTTAAGCTTCTCGATTTGCTCAACAGCCACAAAACATCGATAGGATTTCTTTTCGGCTGGTTTGTGAGGACATGGGAGTTTTTCTCCACTTTTTCTTTGTCTCTGTGGCTCTCTTTTACGGACAAGTCCTATCCTGCCCAAATGGTAGGTTTCAAATCTTGCATTTGTTGATACGAAACTTTCAATTTCCCCATCTGAAAATTTCAGTCATGTAGAGGCCTAATAAACAAAATGGCTACAAAACTCATCATCCAATTCAATGTATTGTTATCTTTTATTTATTCAAAAATATTTTTGATTCTTTTTTGCTACATCAGAACGTATGTTTGCAAAGTTTTTTTAAGTTATGACCGAACAATCTTCGCAATTTCTTAGCTAATAAAATGTTTCGCTGCTTATAGTCTTGAATTCTTTTGAAATACTAATAAAAATAAACTAAAGTTTTATCAAGGTCATCTAAAATTAATGACAAGATTTTCGCAAGAAAGATCCTGTCGTTATAAAAAACCGTGCACTCAAGGAAAGACAAATTGATGAATTAACTAGTTGGAAATGAAATGTTTTTTCATTCCCTCAGTTTTACATTCTCATCTGGAATAAGAATCATTCTTGGGGACATAATTATTCGCTGGTGTCATATTTAGTTGACGTAATTTTTTTTATTCAAGACAATTTTTGTGGAAAAAATTTCTATCTTGAAAATATAATGCAGGCAGGTGCTAAACATAGATCAAAACGTTGTCGTGTAACTTTTAGAACTCGGAATTCGATGCATATTTTCCTCGTTAAAGCACTCCTGCTGTGTTTTGTACTGTGCGATATTTGAAGCCTGATGAGTAAGTTTTTCATAGCCAATAAAAACAGAAAGAAAATTGTTTATATACAGGGAAAGCAATTATGTTTTCAATAATGCAAAAGGAGTACTGAATGCAAATAACCGTCCACATTAAAACTTCTCACTTAACAGGTGGCTAACGGATAAAAGTTATGGATGTGTAACCATTCCCATAGTGATATTAATTAACAACTCTTTATTAGGACATCTTCATAATTCAATAAAATCGATGCACGATGAAGCGAAGAGAAGATCTTAAACTTCAAGAGCGGTTTAGCAAGGGTCTATTTAAATATTTATTCAACACGTGCACGTTTTATCGAAAACAAGTTTAATTGATACGAATGAGGAAAAAACAAAATAGAACAAAAACAAAATAAATATCACACTATAAACGTAATCATGGTTTGTGCTTAGCCTGTGTATATCGTGAAATGGATGCACGAAGGAAGTTTGCAGAGCACGAAAGAAATGAGTTGCTTGAGGTGAAGCCAAGGGCAATTTTAACTTCTCGAGTGATCTCTAAACTTCCTGTGTGGATCCATAACATGAAATGCATTCGCTAAGAGCACGAACCAATTATTTTATAACGTAGCGGATGTAGCTTGTGCAATTCAGTGGGGTTTACCCCGTAATCGCTTTCTACGCGAAATCTAACAATAAAAGGCAAGGCGAAAACGACCAATAAATATTTAGAGACCAAAGCTTCATTCAAAGAAGAGCTAAATTTGCTGCTTAGAAGCGGAAAACAAAAGAATTCCCTGCATTTGCGAGACCCGCGTAATCAATTCAGCATGCTGAATTCGTTTTATTATTAGAATCAACAGCCAGAATGTGTCGCTGTTTGTTGAAAATTTGAGAATTCTGAAAACTGTAAGTTTTGAATCAATATCTTCAATTCAACAACACTTTTGGGACTTGTCAACTCAAAGAATACTTACTGTTCTGAAAAAGAGTTTCCAAAGTCGCAAAGCCTTACTTGAGGTCAGAAAGCTCAGTTTCCTTCTTCACGGCCATAACTCGTAGAGCGTTTGGGAATGAAAAACCGTTAACTGCAAAGGTATTTTCGTGGATTGACGGAGCTCAAGAATTTTTTTCTTTTTTCCTTTCTTTTTTTTAAACACGTATTATCTAGTATTTTTACTATAATTAATTTTTAGCCTTGAAAGGTGTATCTCAATCGAAATGGAACAGAAAAAAAGTCTGAGAGTTTTGAAACCACTCGGAGGGGGCAAACGGGAACTTACCTGCTTAAGTGAATTGCAAACCTCGTGTTATATATGCTCGGCCATGCCTACGTCGAGACACCATGATGGCTCATTAGGAGTTTGGTAGGACTTGCAAACGCGCGCTTGGTTATAATAGCTTTGATAATAAATCGTGATTTGAAATAATGTACAAAGATTGGAAGTTCATGATTGAAACGTCTTACCTATATCATAACATTAAACATTAATTGCAGTTTTCTGAGGACGAATTTTTCATCGGAGTTTGGGCTCATCAGTGTTGCAGTTCGCAACTTTTGGAGGTCATAAAATCCTCCTCTAGCGATCTTCCAGGCTCGAAAAAACCTTACCCGATGTTACTGTTAATACAACTTGAACTCCGGTAACTTAGTGAATATTTCATAATTATCGTTACACGTGCATCGAACAGGGAAACTAAAAACACCTGAGACCCACAGGATTGATGACCCATTTTGCTTTTTAACTCTTACTGATTTGAATTTTTAGATCAATGCCGTATATTGGCATTTCCATCCACTTTGTTCTTCGTGGGAGAACGTCTTATTAACCACACCATAGCAAACATCAGTGTGATTGACAGGGATACGTGTGAATATCGTTGCTACTTGGACCACAACTGCGTCAGTGTTAACTTTTATTTTGGAGAAAACGGTGCAGAACCACACAACTGTGAACTGAATAACTCAACGAGTAAAGAGTATGATAAAGATCTGGTGAAAGCAGCGAACTACGTGTACCACGGAACCAAGGTACCAGTCGTTAAATAGAAATTGCACTACTTTCTCTTTTTCAATTCATCATACCTAATATTCATGTCTGGAAAACGCCTTTTATCGATCATTTGGTATTTTTACATAAATTTTAGACAAGTGCTGATGTCGTTACGGATCTTTAGTAGAAAAGTACCAACAAAAAACAAAAGTCCTTTGAGTCCCCTGAGGACACCTAACTCTATTAAGAAAAGCAGGTAATTTTTTTAAGTCATTTCAGAACGTTGGTCACCGGCCTTGAGCAAATAATTGATCGCTGTTTTTCTTGCAATGAGGAAAGCACAACAATAATAAATGGAATGGCCTTTCGAATGCATTTCTGCAAAAGTTAGTTAAATTCAATTGGGTTTCAGGCTTGAATTGGGTTTAATAATCGAAATAATTAGATACATCTCATGGCTGAAGAGTGAGTACGACTATGGATATAACGATACAGTTGAGCTATGAGCGGGGTTAGTGTGTGCTGTTTTGGGAAAGACAGTTTACTTTATAATAGCCTGTCTAAAAAGACGACCTTTCCCGATTTTTCTGAGTAATGGGAGTGTCTTCACGGGCTTCATTTGAAATTCCTTTCTCCACCAAATTGTTCTCAGGTTCTCGGCGAAATTTCGAAGAAGGCTGTCAAGATATTAGACAGTTACTCGTGACATCCCATCCAGGGGAGCGACAATTCTTCTTGTCACCTCATGCTGAAAATGTGGTATATTTAGCTCTCGAAGTTTTGCAATATGTCTCATACAGAATTTCTCTTTTAACGCCAGTGACGAGTTTTCTTTTTGTTTTGTTTTTTTTATTATTGTTTTTGAAGAATTTTTGCGCTCAAGCTCCATGTAAAAATTACGGCACCTGCCAGTCGGGATTTACAAGAAAACGATATCGATGTTTATGTGCGTCTGGATTCACTGGCCACGACTGTGAGGAAGGTGACGCTTAAAATGATAGAAATGAATTTTGCTTTTGATTTTAACACAGTGGTCTATTTCTTCAGAGGGTTCAAGATTTATAATCGGTTGTACTTGTGACACATATTAAATATGACCCATTTTGGGGGAAAGAAGTATGGGGGCGCAATTTCAAATTTCATGCTCTTTTTCTCAACTCTGGGTATTGTGTCTTGTTTAGGATGAACAGGAAAGAACTTGAACCACCTCCCCTAAGTGCTGCATTCATTTTCTGTTTCAAAGACTATCCTGCTTCTTTCAAGTTGCAGTCTCACCCCAGCCTATGATAGGCATTCTGCGCCGGGAAAAATGGGGCGAAGAATTTTCCTCTCCGCAGCAGCTCCTCACTCGAAACTGCTGGCAAATAGCGTAACACATCATATAATTTCAATCATCGATGAGTGTGTTCTAAATTTTCACAAGTGTAGCGAGTATGCCAGTTTCACCAATACCGAGGGATCTTACAAGTGCTCTTACAATCCTGAATTCAGCGGGGATGGCGTTAAGGATAATAATCAAGAAGTTTCTAGAATGCTTAGTCATGCTTGCATGCATGTCATGGAACTTTCTAGAACATTCTATTATGTCACGTAGTCATGATGTAATACTACCAAAATAGTTGTGTTGTAAGCTTCCGGGATGTTCTAGAATACTTTGTAAATGTTTATAAGGATTCATTCGTGTCGTAATAGTAGTTGCTGCTGTCGAGAGTTACCAAGTTATTGTGGAAGATTGTTTATTTTGAGGAACTTTGGAAACAGCTGCGATATAGACTGTAGTGGGCTTAAGTGAGGTTTATTTTTGTACTGTTTTTAGGAACAGCTACTATTAAAAACATCACAAGTTTTGTTAATAAATTAGTTAGTTTGTAGGATTGTGGTGTTCTTTCTGTCGGTCAGATTATACCGCAATAATATTGATAACTGCAAAGATATCATCCTGCAAAGCATGATCTTGTTAAACAGAAAAATTACACGTGCATTCCTTACTCCCTAAAAACACCCATTAGCCCCGTGAATAATTCTAGTCGTGACAAAAAAATTCATATACTTTCGTTATATAGACTCATCCCCTTCTCATTGTTCTTCTTTATCGCTATACCTGAAACACAGTCCTTATTTGATTTCAGACATTGACGAGTGTTCTAAAAACAGCCATAACTGCAGCTACACAACTGCTACTTGCACCAATACCAATGGATCATTCAAGTGCATTTGTAAACCTGGATTCAGTGGTGATGGACACAACTGCACAGGTACTGAACACTATTTAGAGCATGATAATTTGTCATTTCACCACAACAAAACCTACGCAACTGGCCGAAGTAGAGTCATTGTATATACTAACCTGTTATTATTAAAAACGTGATGGTCATATAGTGGAGCCCTCTCTCCCCTTTTCCCAATCAGCTTAGGTGTTCGTAATCATGATCACGAGCACGGTGTGTTGATTCCAATTCAGACATCGATGAATGTGCCAACAATACCCACAACTGCAGCAGGGACAATGCCACTTGTACAAACACCGCGGGGTCGTTCAACTGTTCTTGTAATCCTGGATTTATTGGAGATGGACACATCTGCCAAGGTAAAATCTTACACATCAAATCTTACGCCACATAGCCTTTATTACGTTTGTATAACTGCAGTCATTTTACCACTTTGTTAATATCGTGTATCACGACTTTTTGTACACACTATTGGGTTCATTTCAGACATCGGCGAAGATGCTGAGAATACCTCCAACAGTAGCAATGAAAACGCTATTTGCGAAAATTCCGGTGGATCTTCGAAGTGTATATGTAAACCTGGATTCAGTGGGGATGGACACAACTGTACAGGTAATAAATTTTCTTCAGGCCATATCAGTCATTAATGAAGGCAGTACAAATAATGACCTGATATTCTTGTTGTTATGATAATAAAAGAACCCAAAGATCTCGGTAGAAGTCGCGTTTCATGATCTAGATAACACTTTACTCTTTTCATTCCATCGGATATACAATTATGTCGGTTAAACTTGATCAGCAGGCGTTGTTGTTGTCTCGACCAGTTTTTTTTTCATTATATTATTTATTTATTTATATATTTTTTTCATTATTTTTTTTTTAATATATGTATATTTTTTCATTCTCTCCCTACAATCATGACGGCACACATCATTGAGTTGATTTCATTGCAGACATTGATGAGTGTGCGTCAAATTTTTTGGGTTTCTTCGATAGGTACATCGGTTTTTCAATCCTAGTTGTAAATTCCTTTTACCCATCGCTTTGCCTGGATTAACTGCCGCGATTATTATCACTTAGGATGAATATAGTCTCGGGGATAAAATCCGTAGGAAAAAGACCTCATGTGCTCCTTAAGGGCGCATATCAAACGTTTGTTTATTGGACGACTGACTGATTTCGATGTTGATTTGAAAGCTGTCCATCAAATCAAGGTATGTCTCTGGGTAAAAAAAAAGCTTAGGTTAACTTTTGGATAGCCTCTGCTAACGTCAAACTTTCTTTAAAGATCCTGGTTAATTAACTACGCCTCTGTCTTTGTTTACATACGGGCAACTGAGGAGAAAATCGTTGATATTACATTCAATTGCTGGCCCGTCAACACTTTTTTCCAGGTACAAGGAAAGGATTCGCGAAAGGAGAAGCGTTTTGCAACCTAAGAACAAATCCGACGCGCTCCGCACTTAATGAAAACGTACAGAGCTTCAAAATACGCCTAAAGGAAATAAAGGATGCCTGAAAAAGTTCTGGCGAAACATCTCTAGAGTTATCTGCTCCAGTAGAGAAGGGTTCACTTTAAAACAAAGGAAATAGCACAGAGGAGAAAATATTGCTTTACTTAACCACAAAAAAATACTGATGAGGAAATGGCCTCTTATTTAAACCAACGCACCTATTCGTAAACGAAAGTCATTAAATTATATCTTGGTCAGAACTAATCTTTGAAGACACAAGTTTAAAAACGCTTGCGGATGGCAGGAGTGTCACGGGTCGAGCAGGATTCTTGATACTTCAAATTTTAACTGGTCACTTGCCTCTTGTGACCTGCACCTTGCGCGAAGCATATCCACGCTTTAACTCAGCACAATTTCTGCAAATTGGCTATTACTTAGACCTTCGATGTCGGGACCAACCTTCCTGTCATTCCACATGTTGAATTTTTTCGTCTGCCTCGCGGCTTTAGGCCTTCCATGTGAAGAAACGCGAGAAGTAATTGACGGTCTCGGTTCCAAACCAAAATTTCTCAAGAAAATTGCAAGAAATCACTAACTATCCGTAATAAGGCCCCGATAATTTCAGAAGACTGCTACGACAATTTAAGATCTCAACATATTCAAATCTCTCAGATGCACTTGGATGACAGACCATAATGGAAATTTCACAAATCTCGATAACATAGTAATGGCGGACTAAGCGCGCAATGAGTAGTGGTTGTTAGGTTCCTTTGAGATCAATCCGTCAGTCACAGATTGAAGTCCCACCCCCACAGCTCCATAGTTATTCCCAATTAATGTCATAGTTACAGTCTATTAAATTCATATTAGACATCGATGAGTGTGCTGAAGATCCCCACAGCTGTAACAAGGACAATGCCACATGTAAAAATACCGAGGGATCGTTCAAATGCTCTTGTAAGCCGGGATTCATTGGGGATGGACACAGCTGCCGAGGTAAAATCCTATACAACGAATACCGAAAATTAGGGAGCTTCGGCAGCATTTTAGCTTTGGTTTGAAGCTCTCTGTAGTTCTGATTATAATTTTACTGTTTCTGTCAGTGTTGTCAATGGACCGAGATAAAGCCTTAACATAATTTCTTTATAATCCACACATCACATGTGTAGTTTACCAAATCAAAGCCTCATAATAGTAAAAGTGTTGGGGGGAAGGGAAAGGAGGGAAAGAGGTTCAGGTAGGCGTGTCCTCTGTTCAAACGAAGGGGCAGGTTGTGCAGAACAGAGATAAGAACTTAATGAAGTTGGCTTACAGTATTTTCAAAGATGTTAGCTTGAGAGCTACCCTCTGGAATTTTTTTTAAATGAAATTTGACATATCAGTTGTAAGCATAGAGTAGTCGAGGCATTGTTAGATTCATAACTATATTATGCGATTTGATATGACCACAATTGACTCTTTTTTGTTGAAAATAGTGCTTGATTGTAAATAGAACGTTAGTGGATCAAGAAGGTAATTGTCATCGAACGAGAAGCATTTTCCTGTTTCTTTTCCACAGGCTTATTAGGCTTCGTTCCCGAGATGCCTGCCGAGTCTTGTGGAGAGATCAAAGCTAGCGAACGAAGGATGGCTGTCAGCGGTAGATATTGGCTGGAGCCCCAGGAGACAAACATGAAATCCAAGAAGTTTTTGGTAATTAAATTATTATTCTTCAATCATGGGTTATTCAAGAAAAGATAGATTTGTATCGTAAAAAGCAAGAATGTTTGGAATTCATAATTTCTTTCTTGAAGGCAATTCACGTAAAAAAAAATTGGATTAAAAAATGTAAGTTTGCATGGAATTCTTAATTCGTTTCCAGGTTTATTGTGACATGGTATCAGCGGATCAGGCCTGGACTCTCCTCGCTCGGTTTTCAAACAGTGACACTAAAAACTGGATGGATGACTCAGGAGGTTGGTGGTATGACAGTACTCAAGCTGCAGGAGAAACCGCTGACCCGTCATACAAAGCAGACATGATCTCGCCGGCGTTCTGGCTGGTCAGTGGCAGTGAGCTTAAGATCACGCGCAATGATGACTCTAGTCACACTCCTCTATTGCAAACAACGGGGAACTGCCTGAGCAGGAAGACATTTCGCTCCAAAATTACCGGCTATGGTGACTTCAGAAACGGTTCAGTTTGGTCCAAAAATGAGTGCCTAGGAAAATGCAATGTTCAATATGGCGGACACTACCAAGAAACTATTGGTTTCGGACAGGCTTCATGCAGCGATAACCTGCAAGGTGCTGATGAGGTCGGCTTCTGGTGTAGCTGGGGGTGGGGTGGTTCTGTGATCATGATTGGAGGAGGCGGAGATAGTTGTTCTGATGCCGATCACGGAATTGCGATAACGAAGGCGAAACTTGCCTCTTTTAAAATAAAAGAGCATGGCAGAAGAGAAGATGAGTTTGGTGACAGTGCATGGGGTGATAAAACGAAAAGATACTCATTGAATTTGTGGATTCGTTAATGTCTCCAATGTTTTATGATTTGCCTTGCCTCTTAGACAAATTTTAAATTGATTGTCTAAAAATCTTAACCATAATAGTCCCGGCGACCAATTGGAACAAAGGTTTATATTATCATTAGCCAATGAGAACTCAAAGTGATTGAAGCACGGGAAAAGGCAAATGACATGAAGTCGGTGTTGTAGTTTTGCATTTGATTGGTTAGGAAAATGGGGCGAATTTTCTGAGCCAATCATAGAGCAAAGTTAAGTTAAACCAAAACAAACCCGGGTTTCTTTGTACACTTAATTGAAAAATGGTTTATGAATGCAAGAAACGAGATGAAACATTGGGCTCATACTTGATATAGAAGACACAGTTGATGTAAAACAATAGAGAACAAAGGCAAAAGAACCAGGGATCACGGTCATGGAACCGTGATGATGATTGGTGAAGGGGGAACCAGCTGCACATGTGCAGATGACGGGATTGAAATAACTGAGGCTGATCAAGCAGCCTTTGTTAAAACAACGGAGGCAAATGAAACTGAATACGACTTTAAAAATGAGGCTAAGACTTCATCTAAACCGAACGATGCATATTCCTTGAATCTGTAGATTAGTTAAGCTTTGGAGTGAATCTATCACGGTAAATCGTCCTTACAAATTAGTTGCAGGCCTATATCGAAAAAATTTAAACCCACGGGAAGTGCTCTTGAAGACTTGATAGTTATGGAAAATAAAACTCAAAATCGAAGCGTCTTTGATTGAATTTTAAGAACATTTAGAGATATGTTTGAAGGCTTGGGTCAGTCTTAAGGGTTTAAATGGGCGTTTTGCGTCAAGATCTCATATATGCTCTCTATATATTTATATAATAAGCTCAGTTATGCACGCATTCTGATTGGTTCTCACTTATGATCTATTGGAGGACAGACGTATAGATGACGTCATCATTAAAACTTTTTTCCGTATATTTTGATTCTTTATAAAATAATTCAAATAGTACGCGCGCTCTGATTGGCCATAAAACCATTTTACATGAGCGTATGTAAACACGGTTTTCGTTCCTCTTTCATTAGTTATTTTATAAAAGAAATGTAAAATGGTTTCCGTGTTTACATAGCCTGATGTAAACACTTGGGAGGTTGGGAGAACACTCGATATGCTGGAAACCATTCCGCTTCGCGTCGTGGTTTCCTACGCTTATCTCGTGTTCTCCCAACCTCCGGCGTGTTTACATCAGGCTATGTAAACACGGGAACCATTTTACATTTCTTCATTATTATATAAAACAAGTAGATTCCAAGTTGCCGTGCGGCTGCGCCTCGTGTGCCACTTTTTTGTTCTTACCACATTTTGACGTCATCTGTGATCTATTACTGAACAGACGCACGGCAACTTGGAATCTATTTGTTAAATATATATATCCGGAGTTAAAAAATTGTATGGTTTCCATAGTATACCTCTATTTTAAGACTGTATTTATAATGTCAATCTGCAGTGAGTAAAGCACAGGAGTAAAGAAAACTTACCGAAATTGTCTTTAATCAGTGTGCATCACGGTAAAAGAGTAGAGGAGATGATAGATTCTGCGCCACCCGTTTGTGGGTAATTGGGGTATTTTTCTAAACTGTAAATGGAAAAATTAAACGTCGCACTGGGTGTGATAGGCTTTCATTGGTGAATCGACACTATAAAATTTGCATACAAGTTTATTAAGTGAGTCATCAGTGAAAGTCTAATGGAGGTTACTCTGCTTGCACAGATAATCGCATATTTGTTTGCCTCTTCTATAAGAAAGAGGCTACGGACTTGTTATGTAAGAGTCAGCTCGATTGGTTTAACCGTTAGCCGGAAAAAGGCCCAAATTAAATTAGCAGTTGGTGAAAATTGACGAATTTTAATTGGTCAGCCGTAAAAAAAGTTACCTGTTTAAAACTTTCTGATGACTGTAGTGGAAAGATATTAACCGTTCGCCGTTAATTGGCTAACATTATAACCGTTGGCCGTTAAAGCCTTCACCCCATTGACACCCTCATTTAAGAGTTTGTAAAGAGATCTCCGTTTGTAGAGAGATCTCCCCTTATATTGGCCCGGTGAAAAACCTATACTTGCCTCATAAAATGTTAAAATGTTCACTGATTGCATTAGACAGTACAACTTTACGGCTGAGAATCCTTGTCGACGAGGAGAGCGAGGCACGCGCAGGCTACACCTAAAAGACAGCTTGGGAAGATAGCTTAAACCCGATTGAAACAGGGGCAGTTTTGCATGTATCTTTGCTCCACTGGCCGTTAAGGGGATAAAATTAATTTCATGAGCACTTAACATCACAATCAGTAAAGAAGCTGCGTTATAAAGAATTTGTGAGTATTTATTTTTCGCCTCCATGTACATTAGGTAAGCCTGTTGAGACTAATTTTGTTAATAATTTTTTATGATTTAATCTTTCATTTGCAATTCTAGTCAATCTTCCTCATCCTTTGCCGACCTCATTCCATTAAGGGTAAGTTCTTTCCCGTTCAATTATTCTATCTTACAAAACTAATATTTTTTTTTTGAGGTTTCTCGTGCTTTAAAGGTAATTTTTACAAACATCCTAGACTAAGGAATGATGACGCAGCTCTTCAAAAATGCTCAGCTTTTGGGACAGAAAAATATCACCAAACAAATGATTACAATTCAAATGCAAATTTACTTCGAACGTCACTTGCGATTCGCTTCCGAATATCTTGGAATGGTTACTCAGTGAGTATCTGATGGTAATGTAGACACAATCAGCTGCTCAGCCAATCTCGCTCTTTGGATGTGCTTTCAGATCCGGATGCCCTTAGATAACTTTGCTTCATTCTATATAGAAGGTGGGTTTCTATAGAAACTGTGGTGCTGAGTCGTTGGAGGAGCACGACAGGATAATTTTGGTTTTATCAACTTAGTTGGTAATGTAAATTGGCCGACACTAACGGATGCGACTGACGCGTTAAAAGCTACTTTCAGTGCACGAACCGTAAGCGGCTGATATTTGAAACATCAGCAGTCAAACAGCTTAAGAAATGGACGCGTATACTTTACACCAATTATTAACCTACAGTGCAGTGCAGGTTATTAGCCTCGAGTGCAGGCTAATAGCCAGTTAGTAATACGAGTTCGAGATTATAATATCCTTGGGGTGAGTTAACGCTACAAGCTGGCGATTATAGATTCTAGTACCGGCAATGTTTGATTTAGAGTTAAAATGGACGGTAGGGGGGCGTGCACGGGAAAAGGCTGGTAATTTCTATTGCCCGACCCCCTCCCCTCTCCTTCCTTTTCACCGACGCTCGCCTTCTTCTTACAAAAGATTTCTTTCTCTCCCCAGTCTTTTGTTGCCGTAAAAATAAAAATCTTAAAAAAATTTACCATTCAGAAGAGTTTTCTTTCTTAATTTTCCTATATTTTGGGTTTCGCAGATTTTGTCAACGTGTTTCAAAAAGTCTTATGGTCTGTTTGTTTGTCAGTTAGTACAAAGACAAGTAATTGCGAATTTCCGGTTTTAGCCCAATTCATTTCCGCTCTGTTGCTCTCAGCCAAATAGAAGCCAATCATTTATTACCTTGGATACATTGCGCGATTAAAAAGATGGCGGAGAAGGTTAAATGAAAATTTATTAAAGTAATGAGCTCATAAGGAAATGTCACAGAAGAATCTTAGGCTAGGCTAAGCCTCCTGCGAGATGCAAAACAGAGGTGAGATTTTACTCTCTGTGTTCACTACGCCTAAGTAGTACGTGTAGTTAACGCAAGTAAGTACGTTTTAACAAAGTCGGGTTCAAGATTGTACAAGACTTGGTTATGAAATGCCGGTACTTGTTGCCGCTATGGGTTGTAGCTGGGGACTGTTCCAGTTTAAACCCACATTTATTTTTTTCTGATAATAGCTCGTATTAATCTTACCCGTGACAAATTATCTAAAAGGAAAATTATTTGAAACCTAGAATGAAAAAATTACATCGAAGGCACTTGAGGTTTGGTTTGCTTATTTTTTGTTAAGCTTACATGATGCCAAGGCTTTTGTTTTTCTCCACGGCAAAATAGCGATTACATGTGGTTGCTGTTTAATATCGAGTTCTTCAGGACAAATTTATGTTCAGGTTTTTTATTATTATTTTTTGTCTTGTTTTGCTTTGTTTTGACTCGATTTACCCTCTAGCATAGTGCAACTTATGATTACGTTAATTAAGTGGAGAATTGATTCTTTGATTCACCACTAAAACTAAAACAAAAAAACTTTAATGAAAGTCATATGTCTTTTTGCTGTTAGCTTATCAAATGATCACAGATCAGCCACATGTTAGCTATTAAAGCACTACGTATGGTGGTGTGATCTCTGGGAAAATTTGTTTGCCATTGTACTTTAGGATGACAGAGAGCAACTTAACTGTTCAATAAGTGTTTTCTTCTGAGTTTCAAATTTGGCAGAGAGTGCCATCTTGACCCCTAATGTGACCTGCCTTTAAAAAAGAAGGAAACTTTAAGAAATAAATGAAAAGCTCTGTTGCTGCCAAAAATCAAGTTAACATAATTTCTTTCAAATTCATGTATATTTTTTCTTTTCATCGCATTTTCATTAAGCTCTTTTGTTTTAAAGTCTGTTACTTTCATGGATTTTCTGTTACTTGTTTTTTCTCAATCTATATTCATATAAGTTCTTTACTGTAACTTTTATTCATTCTGATTTATAGTTAAACTTTGCTGGATCATTTTAAATCATTCTCTATTGTCTTAAACCAGGACCTTGTACAACATTTGGTAGTGACTCTGGTTCTCTCTCTCTTTTTTTTTTTGTTTATTTTTTTCAGAGGTAACTTATTATTTGTAATTTAATTGTAGCAACCCCTTCTATTGTTCACCTTGCTTTGATTGTTCACCTTTTTCTGTTTTGTGTGGAAGTATGTTAAAGAGAGTTTTTTTTGTTTGGACCAATACATGTAATTTTGGCCATCAGGAGCACCTCTAGGACTGTGATTCCCAATTACCACAAAATGTGTGGTTTTTCTCTTTCATTTATCTTTTTTGGAGCAATGATGCTGCACTTTTCTTTAGCTTATCAATATTTGCTGAGCAAGTCTCTGACATCTTACAGTTCCTCTATGATTTTCCCCTTCACCTGTGTAGCTGCTTCTTGATATATACTAATGACAAGACATTACCCAATAAACCTGTCCTGAAGCGATGTTAATTTTGGTTACCTAGAATTCTGATTTTTTTGCTCAGTATAGAACAAATCAGAACCCAATTGGTAGCCTTCAACATCCCATGCCTTTTGTTGGAGAAAAAAATGCTTATGCCTGAGAGATTTACATTATAAATTATATAACAGCTTCCCTGTTTTTGAGGCAAATTGAGGCTATTATGTTTATTATCCTTCAAATATTTTTGACATGCAGGAAAAATGTTTTTGAATAGCTTATTGTTTATGGTGTGGGAGGTTCACTTTTCAGTGTTCTCTGAGATGATTTGGTTAAGGAAAGAAACATGTTCCTTCTTTTATAACAACCACATAACACTTTTCATTGTAAATTAAATCTTGAACACAGAGTTTTCAATATTGGATGTAAGGTTTGAAAATTGGGGAATATCACTTGAGGTATATCCTTGGATATCCCCCAGTTTAGCCTAAGGATATTCTGTTTTGTGATGTGTTTAGACCAATAGGCCCAAGCAAAGATATTTGTTGGAGAGTGATGGAATTTTTTGATCATGAGTAATTTATTTTAAAAGTAGGGTAGCTTATATATTGCTAAGTGTGGTGTTGAAATTAGGATTTTAAAATATGAAAAATGACGAGAAAAAAAAACAGAGAGAAACAAAAGAAAAAACTAACTTAAGTCACTGCAAACTACAAGAAACCCAAATTGCTGTTTTTGTCTATGATTGGTTGATTAGATAGTGTTAATATTTTGGCAAATCACAGACCAAGATCATGGAAAAGCTTAGAAATATTGGATTGTTTTTAAGCTCGATCAAATTTATAAATAGCACTGTGTATGAGGAGTAAAAAGATCATTACATAGTTCAAATCTGTCCCAAATTGTCTCCTCTTAACCAACTACCTGAAATCTTGACCCTTTTACTTCCAAGATCTGAGAGTTGACTCACTCAACTGAAAACCTTACTCAGTTTGTTTTAGGTGTTGCTGGGAATATGCCTGAGATTGTTTTAACCCTTTAACTCCTAGAAGTGATTCACATGTAACTTCTCCCTACAATATTCATCCACTATCCAACAAACAGGTAATGAGAGTATTCAAATGTATCAGGTAGAAGTTTTTATCTTGATCTAACACTAAATTCTTACAACTAATTTACAAGGAAATGTGTAGCAGCTAGAGAGGAGAATTAACAATTAGATCCTAGGAATTATAGGGTTAATGCTCAAACAAAAATTTTTCTTCAAGTTCTTTTAGATATTTTATTTTCCTAATTGTTGTTGTTGTTTTTTTTTCAGGCCCTTCTTTATGGAAGCTGTGTGTCCCAGAAAGACAACATTACCAAGCATGCCTGTGATAAGGAGTTTCAAGCACTTAAAGACTGTATAAGACAAGCAGTAAGTTTTCTGGTAGACTGATCAGGCTCTCTTTTCTTTCTGTGTTTAATTAGCTTGGATATCATGTTAGATTTTAAACCACAAACTCAATTATCATGACAAGATAGTCAAATGGGGGCACAAAAGTGTCCTTTCAGAGAGTGGGGTGATAAAAAAGAAAGCCTTTGCTTTTTCATGCAACATATTCTTTGCCATACTTGTCCAGAGTTTGTTTCAGTTCAAACTTTGTTAAACATAAGCAGTTAATGACTGGTTTCAAGGGATACAGTGAGTTTTCTTTTCCCAAGACTCTTCAATGTTCCTTGAACTGAAGCCAAAAAGTACAATTAGGGTCAAATAAAAAATGGCTGTATAACAATGATTTTAAACAATTGCAAAGAATTTGTAGTACTTACATACTTAAACATGTACTCTCAAACTAACTCTTATACTCTCAAATTAGTCAGCTTTAATCAGAATTAATCAGGTTCATCCTTTTATCAGTGGGTACTGTCCCACAGTGAGAGAGGGATGGGGTTTAACTTTTCCTTGTCAAATTGTTGGTGTCTTTTTTTATTATTTTCCTCCTGATTTTAATTAACAGTCATCAGCAAAAATTAGGGACTGAAGATAAATAAGAGACTACAGCAAGTCACTCAGACATAGGACTGCTGTGCTTTTTCTACTTAAATTCAAATACTACCTACCTAAAATAATGTAATAATAATCATTATATACTGAAACAAAATGTTTCATTCCTGATTAGTCTATTGTGAATGAATTGAAAAATAACTTATTAAGTGCAATACAGGATTTCCATACTACACACTGGCTTGAAATTAAAGCTTTTAACCCTTTCACTTCCAAGATCTGATTGTTAATTCTCCCCTCTAGCTGCTACACATTTCCTTTTAAATAAGTTACAAGAATTTGGTGTTAAATCAAGAAAACAACCTCTACCTGATAAGTTTAAGTATTCTCCTTACCTCTTTGCTGGATGATGAATGGATTTTATAGGGAGAAGTTACATGTCAATCACTTGTGGGAGTTAAAGGGTTAAAGAGAACTAAACAACAATAAACTTTTTAGTAGTTAAAAGAAAACATTAAAATTTGATGTGTCCATCCTCCTCTGCATTCTAATGAATGATCAAATCAAACAATATAATTATCTTAAGGCATTTTCCAACTGGTTGAAAATGTTTTGAGAAATGTGCACCAGGAATGTACAAAGAGCAGTATTTGTATGAGGTTTTGTTTAGAACATATCATACATAAAAACATATTAAACAGCTCTTACATTTCATTATTTATGGTTACTCATTATATGTTTGGAAAGTTTTCCAAAAAGCACTCCAATGGCTAGTTCATTTACCAAAGCTTTGTAAACATCACTGATGCCTTTGAATTAAGAGATGTACTTGAGCTCATGGGATTTCCCTTACAAATACATGTGCGATAAATTAGATTTGCTGAATTGAGCAATAGAAAAACAGAAGCTAAATTCATCATATTTGGAAGATGATGCTCATGTAACTGTTATGCTGTTACATACATTTCCCATCTGCTCCCCTGTGCTCACATGTGCCAATTCCTGCAAGAACACTCTGTCAGCCAAGGAAATCGTAGAAGCACAATGATATTCTAGAATCCTTAATCTATACACATGCATTCCCTATTGTCTGTTTTTAACCCTTTACACTCTAACATCAATATATATGCATATTCTCCATACTTTTCTCTGTGTTCTGACAAGGAGAATTTGCTCAACAATCAAGAGCTTTTTTTTTTGTTAGTGATCATTTCCTCTATTCTCATGACCTTAATGTTTAATTTAGGGATGATATTTCAAGGAGAAATTAGCTCCTAATCACTATTTGGGGTTTGAGGATTAGAGAAAGTTAATGTTCAAATTATAGAAAACCTGGTGTGCCTGGCCTTTTTGTTTACTCTGCAACAAGATGTTAGTAAAATAGGAATTCTTATCAATAAGAAATTTATCATGTACTATTTTAATTTTTTATCTCTCTAAAGATTTCCTCTTGTTTGATGATGTATTTTTGTTGCAGGCAAAGAAAATTAAAGTGTAGAGACTTGAAAAGAGAGAACAACTGCACCTGTTGCTGCAAAGTTCAGGAACAGAAGATGTCACAGGGAACCCACTCACTTTTTGTCTGGGATAAAAAATGCTCTAAGGAGACATATAGGTTTGTGGAAACTGAAAGAGAATGTAATGGAAGTCCCTGTGCTCAGTTTGAATGCCACGATTTTTATAGTTTTTAAATTTGTTTTGTTTTTTTCAGGTACTTGGAAATCCAACACCATTGTAGAATTGATGAATTAAAAGCAAATTATGGCTAATGTGAAATATGTGAGAATTACTCATACTGAGTGTAAAGCTTATAATAAAATGGTGACCATTTTATGATTCCTTTTTTTAGTCACTCCAGATGTCATTTCCTGTGTACATTTCCAGCTTTTAAAAAGTGAGATTTTATTTTAAAACTGAAATAGAAGCCAATGTGCTGGGTAGTTGAACCCATGAACATGTTCTACCACAGAAATATCAGGCATTGAAAAGATTACAGGGTATATGATCATGAAAAAGTCAAGTTTCGTCGTTTGGTGGCTTGTTATTGAACTTTTAGTTGAACTGTTAAAGGCCCGTCTACCCAAACAAAACAAAACAAAAAAATAATCATAAGCGCCCCCTCCGGGTATAAGCCCACCTCTCGCTTTTCTTGTTTGGGGAGCGGGGCCGATGTTAGCCTTGTCACGCTCTCGGTTAATGGAAATGAGCTAAAGAACTGCCGTGGGATCAGGAAATCGTGACCACCGACTTTAACTCGCCCGGTCCTTCGCTTGTCTCCAGTCCACTGACTAAGAGAGTCAAAAAGGTTTCTTTTTTGGATAAAATTTGTCCGTTTAACTTATCCTCGGACAATCATGAAAATGACAACGATCTCACCTTGTTAAACACAAGGAATCAAATTTACTTACTGGATAGATGTAGGGATCAGAGGAATGCAACTGTAAAGTAAGGCAAAGACCCCAACACGTGATCGCGTGACAGTAAGGAAATTTGATTTCCGTTGTTAAGGTCGTTAATTTTCTAATTAAGCGAATGTCACGATTACATATTCGAAGGTCATTCGTCTTTCGCTTCTCGACTCGTTGAATTCCTCGTTTGTTAAAGTGCTCTACAGTTATCTATAAATCATTTAGTCTTACGCCTCACCCGAAAGAAAGGTACTTTCGCTGTGGGTGAATTTTCCCAAGAAATTCGATTGGTTGAATCATTACCTCTGTGTTCTACGTAAGACTAAGTGCAGCGGTTTAGAAGATATTATGATGACAGACGTTTTTTGTGGTACCCTCAATTGCAGAGATCTATCATCGTGTATACAGTTGTATGTAATTCCAATAAATAGTAAAAACGAAGCAAGATCAATTTTAATCGAGTCTGAAGATAGCGTAAGGGTTCAGGATGTTGGATAAACATTCGAGCGCGAGGTCGTTACCTTTCGTTTTTCCAGAAATTTCGATGAAGAACATCAGAGCGCTTAAACTATTGTCAAAGGCTTTGGAAGAGACCTAATCGTGAAAAATTCGGCTCGGGAGCTCGGTATGCTTGTATGTAAAACATTTTCAGAACAAACTAAGCGCGTCGTGGACTCTAGGCCAGGTGTATTATGTTGATCAAGCGGTTATAATATTTCCGTAGCTTCCTTGTCTCCGTAAATCTATCGCTTTTACCTCTCTCTGATCAGCTGTTAATCATGGTACAGCGGACTGTCATGGCGGCTGGACCGACCTGGGCGAGCTCGCTACAATTTCTAGTACTCCTGCTTGGAACAGCAGTTTTAATCCATGAGAGTATAAGTGGCGACTTTTTAGGGCCTTACCAGGCTACAAGCGTCTCAAAGACGTTTATTGCCCCTGAATTCGTCTCATATTTGACAAACCACAGAAGATTTAAACCTCGTGCTAAACGATTTACTTCACGGAGGGTCCCACACACGGTCAAAGGAATAAGCAGCTTCAATCTGGAAAGGGATGTGCTTCTGTGCGGGGACGTGGCCATAAATCCTGGCCCGAAAGGGAAGAAGTCTATGTTTACCCATGCAGTGAATGCCACAAAGCAGTTAGAAACAACCAAAACGCCATCTTGTGTGCCACATGTGGAAACTGGTCACACGCTAAATGCCTCAATATGTCTCGGACTATTTTCCAGTACTACTTAGACCAGCCTGATATTGATTGGACCTGTCCAGCTTGTGCTCTACCGCCACTAACGGACTCCTTCTTTGAAGAAGTTTCTGAAGGTGATACACTAATTGGAAGTATCAAGCGGAAACAACTCAAAATACGGCCTTCGAGCAGTTTCTTTACAGAGATGTCACAGAAATTACTTCTGAAAACTATCAGCTAGAAAGGAAACATCACAATAAGGATTTCTTAATTGCCCACTTGAACATTTCAGCATCCAAAATAAATTTGAAGAACTGACCGAGGTAATCAAGAAAATCAACGCCCACATAATGTTCGTAAGTGAGACCAAGATCGACGCGAGCTATCCCAACGCTCAGTTCAAAGTTCCGAATTACTCCCTCTACCGAAATGATAGGAAAAAGGGCGGCGGTGGAATTATGGCTTTAATATCTCAATCGCTAGTCAGGACACAGCTTAAACCTGATAAATCCTTTAAGACACTGGAAATAATAGCCTTCGAAATCAAAACAGATGTGGACAATATGGTAATTGTTGGTATTTATCGTCCCCCGAGAGCTCTGTGTGGCGAATATCAAACACTGTTGGAAAGCGAACTCAGTTATGTCTGTAACTGGGCAAGCTTGAACGGAAATTTTGTTGTAGTTACTGGCGACCTAAATCTGAACAGACTTCGCCATGACAAACCTGAAGGTAAACTGCTTCTCGATTTGGAAGTTGAACAATTTGAATGTCTCAAGAATAGAAAAGCGTGGAATAATTATAACAGAGATAATAGATGTTTTGCTCACTAATAGAAGCTTCCAGCTATCTGGTAATTACCATCCTTGCTTAAGTGATCACGACCTTTTTTACGGTGTCCTGAAGCAGAAAATAAATCACAACAAACCAAAGGTCATCACATTTAAGAGCTATAAGAACTTTGACCCTGAACATTATAAACAGCTTTTGTCCTCTGCCCCATGTGGACAATTGTTTGATGACGTCGACGATCAAACGTGTGGACTTATGAACAATATACTGGACGAAGTGGCACCTGTGAAAAAAATGCGTGTGCGTGATGAAGATGTGCCCTACATGACGTCTCATTGGAAAAGTGCGATTAGAACTAAACGCAAAGCAAATGACAAGTACTTGAAAGACAAAACGCCAGAAAATTGGGAATTACGACGTAAAGCCAGAAACGCGGCCACTAAACAAAGAAGAATGATCAAACAGTACTGGTATAATGTCAAACGATTAGCCATTTTTGGGCTCTAAATGTACTGAAAGAAACGACAATTTCGGCAGTATGATAACGAATCAACAACAAGTGGCTGAGGTGGTTGAGCATTTTGCTACCTTAATTTAAGCGATTGAAAGAAAGTCAATAGAGGACTTTAGAGACCATCCTTGTGTTCAGAGGATACAACATGAAAATATTCACTCAGACCATCGAAATCGAATTGGTTACACAGGGACAAGTCCTTGCAGTTCTCGATTCGCTGAACATAAACAAAGCCACCGGCACTGATGGAATTCCTTCAAAGGCTTTAAAAACAGGTGCTAATGAATTATCCGCTCCACTTACCACCTTGTTTCTTGTATTAACAAGAATGCATGGCCTAGTGAATGGAAGTATGGGCATTGGGCCCCAGTATACGACAGGAATGCAAAGGAAAACTACCGGCCCATAACTCTCTTACCATGTGTAAGTTGAAGTTGGTTGGAGCGCAGATCAACTCTGGCTTTGGTAATCGCATTTACCAACACTCATCCGCTTATCGCAAAGCTTACAGCTGCGAAACAACATTGATCAATTTAGTAGAAGATTGGAGACTGGCGAGGGATCGAAAACAGGTTGTGAGCATACTTTCAACTGACACGTCAAAGGCATTTGACTCGTTACACCCACCGCTACTTCTGAACAAGCTTGAAGCGTACGGTTTTCAGGAAAGCGCTATTCAACTTTTAAACAGCTATTTAAATGAACGGAAATATCAATAAAGATGAAGTCATGTTTACTCAAGAGCGAAGTGTGAGTTCAGCCGATTCGTGAGTCGTGGCTGTCCTCAGGGTTCCGCGCTTGGCCCGTTGTTATGGAATGTCTTCCAGAATTGCCTAACAGCGAACTTGTCTATGTATGCCGACGACCATCAAATTTACCACGCAGGAGCAGACCAAGCAGCTGTGACTTCCCAGTTAAAGGATAGTGCCAACTTAGCAACAACGTGGTACGATTCTAACTTATTGGCGGGAAACCTCAAAAAGTACCAAGTTTTGAACTTGGGCTTCACTCAAAATGACAGCAATATTTGAGTGAATGATGTTGTGATTGAAACTAAAGATAATATCATACTTCTAGGAGTAGTGTTAGATTCTAAGCTAAATTTCTCTGAGCATGTAATCTCTATCTGTAAAAAAGCCAGCCAGAGAATTGGTGATGAGACTACGTAATTTAATTCCTATGAAATCTAAGTTAATATTATTCAAAAGCGCGATATTACTATTCCTCACGTACTGTCACCTAGTGTGGCATTTTTGTAAAGCGAGTGACACTCGAAAGCTTGAAAGACTACAAGAAAGAGGACTTAGAGCGGTTTTCAAGGATAATAATTCTAGTTATGAACAACTATTAGAGAAGGCAGATTGCCAACACTACTAAATAGTCGCTTACAGGATTGTGCATCCTAAAAGTGCATATATAAAACATCTTTAAAGAACCTGCTCTGCGGCAAGCAGCTCTATCGGTATGAGACAGTCACCTATTATTAGATATTTTAGGCTATGGGCAAAATACCCAGTATCAGGGACGTCACAACTAACGTCGTTTAAAAGCAAGATACGCCAACTCTATATAAGTGAACTTTTTGATGGGCGCAGGCTGTATTATTACTTCTGTGTATTTTTACTATAAATCTCTTAATGAGTTATAGATATTTTTACTACTGTATATAGTTTCTTTTAGTTTGTATATTCTCCCCTAATTGGTGTCCCCAAATTAGTAAGGGATTTGTTCCCTGGCTAGACGGTTTTTGACACTTTAATAAAGTTTCTATTCTATTCTATTCTATTCTATGTCTAACGGAGGTAAGTGTGTTTCACATTGTGTAGACGTTCGTAATTTGATTTGACCATTT